TGCACACACCTTCCCCTTCTTGCCTCTTCGATCCGACAGTGTGCAGCAACACGAAACAGCATGCCCCTCAGCTCTTTAGTTTTCCAAATACAGCACACTTGCTCTGCTCGATCTGAACCCACAGCACGTAGCACACAAGTTACGCCACCTTCTCGACACTTTCATTCCCTATGCAAGCCCTACTTTTTCTCAGGATCTGTCTGTGCGTGAGCCTAAAAAAATCTGTGTGTCATTTGGGGGCAAAAGGCACACTAGATGTAAAGAGACAAAATGGCACAGAGCATCTGGTTAGAGCTCATCTGAGGGAGCTGCGCTGAATTGGGCCGATTGTGTTTAAAATGCAAGTGGAGCAGCATGTATTTTGCATTACATTACAGAGTGTATGAGTCAGGAAGATCAAGTGAGAATACACAAGTGTGAGTAGACTGTAGATACAGCAGGGGGGTTGGTTTGAACAGCAGCAATTATCACAGCGGAAACTTTTCTTGTTTGTCTACTGGTCATCTTTTTATACAGTGTCACAATAAATTCTGGATGTATGTGTCTCAGTATGGCTGGTTCATGCACACCAGTCTGGTTGACGTTGTATTAATCACCTTTATTTACCATTCAGTTTAAACATTATTACATTTGTGCTCGGATTTCAACCCATCTCTTAGGAAACAGTGAACAGCTTTTGGGGGTTAGAGGTCCTGCTCAGGGACCAGCATGCTCAGAGAGCTCAAAGACAGTTGAGCTTTGAAGCAGCAATTTTGCAGCCTCTCCAAGATAAAAATGCAATCTCTCCAACCACTGCCTACAAACTAAAAGTCTCAAAGACCTGCTTCCATGTTAAATTTCATGTTTTTTTTAAATGACAACAGATATTTAACAAACCTTTATTCTTCTGGAACCAAAAACAAAACAAAGGCATATTTGCATATTTGCTTCAGCCTTGATGCATACAGTAAGTGTGCACAGGACGCTCTTAAACTAATGGTTGAATTTAATTATTAGTCATTTTAGGTTCATGCCTCTCAGCTCTTCTGATGATTTTGTTGAACCAGAATTTAACTTGGCTGTCCAGTGATATTTTCTTATTGCATCTTTTACTCAAAGGCACTAGTGTGAAATTTCAGTCTCAAGGTTATGCTCTAGGGTTAAAGTGCTGTGGCTTTTAGGTGTGTCTTTGCTTTAACACAACTAAATAATTTAACTGGTTCATTATAAGGAGTCTAGAGCTGTTTACGGCTTGCTGAGCAGGTAGTTAAGCCATTTCATTCAGGTGTCCAAAAGTTACAGGATAGCAGTCCTCTGGAACTTGAGTTTAACACCTGTATTCTTAGTAGCAATTTCGAAGTGTTCAATAAATATGTAACTTATAAAACGGCATTAGTTAGGAGAAGTGTCCAATAGGTTCCAAGACCACAGAGCCTTAAACTGGAGGTGCATTTTCCAAAAATGATGAAACTACACGATGGAAATCGACCATTCAGGTTATCAAGTGGCTGACAGTAACAATAAAAGCAGTTGGAGTAATTTGCTCTAAGTACTCTTTGCGTGATAGGTGACTGTATCATGGTCTCAATAAGTAAAGCTAGAACATTTTGGTCAGAATGTCAAAAGAAGATTGGCACTAGCCTGGTAAGCCACATTCAACTTATACTGTATACCAGGAGTGAACTAACAGGGTCAGCAGAAAAAGGAGAGAACAAATCGGATGTTATGTAAAAAGCAAGATAACCCTGCTCAAAGTAAAATATGGTAATGGCAGGATCATGTTGTGGGAGGAACTTTCTTCAGACTAAACAAAGGTTTTGTTAACAAGAAACAAACATGAACAGTAGAAGTCAGTGTATTTCTAAACTGGTGTCTGCTAAAAAAAAATTGGAATATAAATTCAGAAAGCTTCCAAAAGGGCACATACGTAATAAATAATCATACGAGCAGTCATATTTAAGAAACAGACACTTAAACTACCCTCCATGTGTATTTTTAAAGTTTTATGCATGCAGAAGATTTAATAGCCAGAGGCTACCATTATATACAAGCATAATTGCATGCTCCTTCCCTTTACCTCTGGGTTGCTTTCCATGTGCCCAGAGCCTCTCTCGTACTCCTACATCGATCTGTTTCTGCGCACTCTGGAAAGTCGTCATTTCAACCAGTAGAAAAATTGCTTGTGATTGTCTCATTTTCAAGAAATTCTGCCTCTTGAGACAATACGGTTTTCTTCCTGGTTTTGGCTAGTAAAATTTAGCAAATCATCTTCAGGCTTATATCTGTTCTCCTCAGGAGGAGAATTTTGACTTCATACTGTACTGTATACAACAGCCATCTTTGTTGCAAATTGACATTTTTAAATACACAATGCTGCTCATAGAATAAGAAAATGCTTAGCAGAGGCATACTGATTGTAAATGTCAGGATTGGTTGTGGTTCGGAGGACCCAAATGCAGAGGCAGAGAGGCTGAGGTAAATACTTGTAGTTTTAATGATGAAAATGGTTAACAAAGGCAGGAATGCAAAAATCCAACTAAAAATGTAACAGACCAGAACCATGGAGCCAGGGATAGACGAGGTGAGACGACAACAGCCATGACAGGACCACCCACAACAAGGAACCAACAAGGAGTGACTGCAGAGGGAGTTTATATGTTGCTGACTGAGACAATGGCAGGGCTAACGAGCTGACAAGGTGCAGGTGTGAGGAGACAACGAGGGAGCCAAGTGGGAAGGGAACACACACAAGAGGGCAACAGAGGAAAACAACAGAAAAACTAACATAAATCTAGAAACTACAACAAAATAGGAATTAAACCAATAAAACTAGAAAACAAGGAGCAAAGTAAAGCACAACATAACCAAAACCATTACAGTAAATGTATGTTCAATTATAAACAAGATTTAATTCCGGCCTCAATATAAATAGTGAAGCTAACGTTAGCTCATACGAAGAACACATTCATGATGTTGTTAAACGAAGTTTTTATGATGACTTTACTGAAATCTTTAGGAGAACAGCGATTGGCCTGAAGATGCTTTGCACACGTTACTGACAACAAACAGGAAGAGAACAAATAATAGAGGTGGAATTTTCTAAAAAGTAGCCAATTACAAATAGTTCACTTTATCAGATTGGTACCATTCCCAAAGTGATAAAATATTCATACACAAGTAGGTGAGAATCTAAAGGCACATAAAAAGTAAAAACCAGATTCCAAGACGAGTTGATGGTATCACCTGTTTGTGAATGATATAGCTGGTGTAAAGAACTACGTAAATAAAACAGGTTCTTAATTGGTGAAGTTTTGCAATCAGAGATGGAACATTACTGCCAAGTCAGGATGCAGTGTTCTGATAGACATCTACGACTGAATGCTTGATTTAAATCAGAATATTCTTTGACTTATTATAAGTTTAAGGGTGTCCTCCTTTGTTATGCCTTTCTTATATTTTTTCCTCATTCCTTGTTTTTGTTTGAGACGAATTGAACAGAATGTTTGTCACACTAGAGGTGAAAAAAACCAGGGAATTATTTCTTATGATCTGTATTATATAATTCTGGAATTTTATGAGGGGGGATGTGTCCTCTTCAATTATCTACTGGATGAGAGGAGAGAATCTCAATGAGACCCAGATTTAGCGTTCCTTTGCTTGGAGACTGTAATGACTGAGGAATCATCAAGCCCTCCCCCATCTTTTGAGAATAGTGGCCTCATGAATAAGTGAGAGGGTTGCATATCCAAGACACGCACTTGCATTTGTTTTTTTTTTTTTTCCCCGTATACAGAAGCCCTTTAATTTTCTCTGTTTTTATTATGTTCCCTCTTTGATTTTCCTTCTGGAAAATATGTGGATGGGAGAAGAAATTCCCTATGGTTTGATATGGCATAGTTGGAAATAGAGTCAGTTTTGGGTGGAATAAGCTCATTTTGGTGTAACGCAGTCTTGGACTAGAGCCTGAGAGTTGCTGTCGGGGATGTTCTACCTTGTCAACTTCATGTGCATGGATTAACCAGCTTCTTAAGTGTGCTTCTAAGTGATGTACTGGATGGTATTGTGACCTAGATTTGAGCGAGAGAGTTACCAAGGTAAAAACTGTTCAAATGCTCTAACATGGTAACCTTGATTTGAAATCTCACTGTCACCTTGTGTGATAACCCGCATAGGTTATAAAGGTTTAGTATACATTTTAGATGTAGTAGATAGCGCCCTAGGCTCACCTCACCATAATCAAACTGATGTGTCTGTAGACAGCGCAGTGACAAAATGAGAAAGGTGTCAGTGTCAAAGAGATGTCAGGGCGTCTGCAAAGACGCAATAGCTATTCACGAACGAGGGAGGGAGGGAGAGGAGGGTAGGGGGATGTCAGTGGAAAGCCTTAGGCCATCCAGCCTTACACTTGTGACAGCCCTCCCTTTCTACCACACTACTGCCACCACCCAGCATCCGTCTCATGGGGAGGGCTTCGGCGAATTGTGGGCAAGCGCTGGACCGAGATAATTCCTCTCAATAGGATCCAGTCAAGCTGGTTTGTCACCAGCAATAGCACCCATGGGAACCACAGGCATGGGTGCAGCAGAGGAGTGAGCTCTTCCCTAATCCATCCCAACTCTCTTCTGCTTTTTTTTGGTATTGTTTTTGAATGCCTCACAGAGTGGTATAATAGCTCATGGTAGAGTTGTTAGCGTTCCAGACATTTTTCCATTTCGTCCACCGGCTTTGCCCAACTTCATTCCAATTTCAGGTTCAATCTTCTCCTCGTCTTCTCTCGACGCATTTAATTTGCTATTCATTCAGCATTTCCTATTCCATAAATATTTATACAGAGATGACACATACACACACACATACACACACATACATGCGCTATGGTAGCTCTGACAAGGGGTGATAACTGAAGGATATCAAAATTGAACTGAACTCACACATCCTAATTTCCAGTATCCACCCTTAGTTTTATTTTATGATCTTTGTCACCTGTGTTTTATTCATTTTTTCTTACCGTTTCAATGCAGGTCAGGACCGAACAGAGGCGGGGCTTATTAAGCGTTTCCGCGGAGATGGAGTGCGCTACAAGGCCAAGCTGATTGGAATTGATGAGGTGACAGCCGCGCGAGGGGACAAGCTGTGCCAAGACTCCATGATGAAGCTGAAGGTGAATGGCTCTTTAAGGTTTCCTGTCTTTGTCTCGCCCAGTCTGTGTTTGTGTGTGTACTTCGTTATGGTGTTTATAACTGTTTTTGGTACATTTACTAATCTTCTGAGGACCAACAGGCCTTGTGGGGACTAAAGGCTGCTCCTAATTTTATGTTAGCAAGTGAGTTTAGAGGTACAGGGTCTAATAATTTTAGGTTAAGGTTAAAGTTAGGAATATACTGGTAATGGTTAGGGTAAATGTCAGGGTTAGGCATAAATGCGGTAGCTAAAATGAATGTAAGTCTATGTAAGGTCCTAATATGGATAGAAATATAAACCTCAGTGTGTGCGTGTCCTGATGTCATTGAGGTTCTTCTCATCATTTGCTCTGATTTGGAAAAGGCTTGCTCGAGCATGACTGTATTGTCTTCTGAGTGAGTCATGGGAGCTGTCCTCTCCTGTGTGACTCACTGAGACTGTATAAATGACCTGCTGGAACAAAGGGAGAACCAACCACATCATTTCATGGCTCTGCTTGATGTAAAAAATATAAAATAACTACTTAAAAACTACTGAGGGGTTCGTTTGGCACCAAATCATGGCATCCTTTCAATTCATTCCTCTTCTTGTAAGCTGTTATACCTTTAATATAGCTCAAAGTACTTTGGATTAATTCACACAGATTTTTTTTTTGTGACCTGAGAGGCAAACCGTCATCTTAACCCAAGATGCTTTAGGCTGCATAAGACATAAGTAGAAAATTTTCCCCCAACTTACCCCCAATTAGTCCGTCTCCTCTGTGTTTTCTCGTGTCACTCACTGACTGCTATTTTTACAACAAAGTCCATGCTGTTACACTTGTGGCACATGTGCAAACTGCGATAACATGACCTAGATAATGTAGCAGAATGGTGTTCTTTGCAGAACATTGCAAGTGAATCAGGTCAAATTCAGCCCTATGGTAAGAGGTGAAAAAAGAAATCTGGGTGCAAGATGTGCATTTTCTTTAAATATATAATACATTTACATTTAGCAGCTCAAATAATTCCCCTTTTTCTAAGCTGCATTTCCAGATGTATTGAAAGTGAATACAACAGAGAAAGTTGCACCAGATTTTTTTGTGAAGGCTTAATGATATCACTAGTAGTTGACCTAATTGGCAAAATAAAATAAACTTAATGTTTAGGGGGCCAGCTACCTAAATAATGTTCCAGATGGTTCCTTGGCACCCCATATAGTATCTGTTAGATAAATGTTTTCACAGAAAGAAAGCAGGTGGTTTTAGGTTTGTTTTATGCTTCATGGCTTCCGCCCGGCCCGGCTTATATGTACCTTGGAAAATTTATAACTACCACCACAGATTTGCGTGAGAAAATAAGATCTCCTCCTTGCAGGTGTTCACAAACTTTTACAGACATAATGGGGTTTGGCCCATTAAGCTCATGGAGATCTACAGATTGTGAACATATCTAAAAATTTAAGAAGAAGGCATTGTTGAAAACAACTATTTTCTACTTCTACATGTAGTGTAGTGTTGTAAGCTTGCTGTCTATATCCTACACTGCCTCCTAGAGTCTACCAAAATGTTGAGTACGGCTTAAACAAGCAATGTGGAATATAAATGCTGCAAATGTTTTTTGAATTTCTTTTTACTTAATTTACAGTTGGTTGCTGCTTATGGTCACCATTTCCAAGTTACCATAAAATGACGGGTTCCTACAGGCAATAATAAACTGTATACATACATATGTATATATACATATATATATATATATATATATATATATATATATATAATTTTTACATGTAATTGTTACAATTTTTATAAATATATGTATATAATTTATATATATGATTATATATAAAATTATAAAAAACTATATAAACATTTTACATTTAAAATAAGATTTTTCTTCTGTCAATATGCTCTATGCAAAGGTCCTTAAGTGCAACTGTTTTAGTTTCACCTGGTTTAATCGTGTTAAAAATAAAAAATCTTCCCTTAGGGAACCTCTGGCTATACAATTGTTAATCGATTAATTGAAAAAAAATATCAACGGATTAATCGTTTTGCAAAATTATATATATATACAGAAATAAACTTCCAACCAACTGATCAGAGCAGGCTATGCGTCATCAATCAGTCTCTCACTGTATCTTTTGAATCTTTACATTTTCACATGGCAGCAGGCCACACGTTTCAGTCAAATTGTTTCCAGATAGCGTTAACGGAAGTGCTGGAACAACTCATTAAATGCATCAAAATGGAAAAAAAAAAAACAGAAAATTAAAAAATATTCACAAATTTCTAACATGTTGAAAAATATAACCTGCCTTAGTTCACCAATAGAAGTGAAGAATTCCTGGAAAAGATGATGCTCTCTAATCATATCATCAGTCATCTCTAAATAATCAATACAGAAAAAGACTGGACAGTATTGGCATCCAGGACCGGTGGGAATACAGTATTGAGTAAAATGTGGAAATCACACTTGGGGCTTCCCTAAAGCATTTCTTAAAGGGAACTGTTAAAGCAGTAGTTCTTTTTTTTCAATAGGGGTTATTTATAAAGGAGCTGTCAATATCTCAACTTCAATGAATAATTCTTACAGGATCTTTACTTTGATTAAAGTAGATTCATTGTCTGTTTTTCAAACAGAATTTTAAGCATTTTTTCTCTTGTAAACATATTCATTGGCAACATATGTTCAATCAGTGAAAAAGGGAAGTTTTTTTCAAATAACTCTAGATATATGTAATAATGTTATTAGGGTTTACTTCAACAGCTCTCATTTCTAGAAACTAAGGTGTTCTTACATGGTCTTCCACAAGTTGATTGCTGTTTCGGTCCTAATCTAAATTATATGAATGAAATGATAAAACTAATAAACAGAGGCAACTCCTGCTCATTTATTTTCTGATTGATCACCACTTATGTATCCAATAATAGGTGCATTATTTAAAATGATTTGAATGACAGTTGGACCCTAAAGACTTAATTTATAACACTAGTCAAGTTCTGTTATGAGCTTTGTTTTAAACTATAGGAGACCCAGTTAATAAAACAGGATTTGTTCGAGGATAACCAGAAATATTTCATACAACACCAGTTTGACCTTTATGTTATATGGAAAGAGGCAGGGTTAGGTCATTTTTTTTTTACGGGGGGAGGGGCGATTTATAGAAAAGCTGCACATGAGCCTCTTTGTAGGTGGCTGGTTCGATAAATTGCCCTTGCAAAGAAGTCGCTTACTGTATGTTTGGCTTTTTTAAGTGTCTTCCCACTTGCTTTTCTGGAGCTTAAATGTGTGGGAAGCCCCAAAGGAGAGGCAGTATAGCCAGAAGGCAAATCTTCACCCATATCCCATCCCAGGAGATATGTCCAATTAAACAACTTTTTGCTGCCTTGATCTGACATTTCAGCAGTGCCCTCCATATAACTCCAGCAGTCACAAGCCAGAAGCCAGTTACACTCAATGGAGCAGTCGATACAGACCTGCTATTATCTGGACAGGGGATAGAGGAGGGAACAGGTCCGTATTGAGCTGCCTCTTGCTGCCATTGGGTCTAATCTACAGAATGGAAAAGCCGATGGCTGACTGACAACACCCTTCAGCTCTTGTGACCAACCCACCCTCCCTTTTTTTCCATGCATCTCTCTCCAATTGCTTACTCAGCTCTCAATCCTTTTTTTATGTTTAATATCTCACCAGATGACTCAAAGGTATGAATACTCTTGCACTGCATGGAATGTTTTCATTTTGGAAAACCAGTCATTACATTGCTGTTTTCAAAAATGAAAACATTCCATGCAGTGCATGAGTATTCATACCTTTTAAATTGTTTTTTTTTTAATGCATGATGGTTTTATGAATGTTTTCCTACTGAACATCTAAAAAGTGTGGCACTTTTTCCAGTCATTCCTAAATCTCTACCAGGTTTGGATATCTAAAGTTTAAGATGTTCTTTAGCTCTGGGTTTGCTTTGCTCCAAACCTCCTACACTGCAAAAACAATCCAGAAATAAGTAAAAAATTGCTTAAATTAAGTATATTTAGCCTTAATTTGAGCAGGTAAATAAGATGATTTGCCAATGGAATGAGTATTTTTACTCTTAAAATAAGATAAATAGATAATATTTACTTGAAATAAGATGATAAAATAGTTTTTTCTTATTTTAAAAGGAAATTGTCTTGTTCCATTGGCAAAGTGTCTTACTTACCTCCTCAAATCAAGGAAAAACACACTTATTTTAAGAAAAAATAACTTATTAAGATTTCTATTTTTTGCAGTGTATCAGCTGCATACATGGAGTTTTTTTTACCTCATCTCAAGGTTTTTGTCCCTGTAACAGCCATTTTTTTTTAGCTTCATTCATCTCTGAACAGCTTCTGCGTCCCTACTGAAGAAACGCATTTCCTAAAGCTTTGTAGTTTTAGTTTCTTCTCCTTGTTGTTTGACTGTTGTCTAAGAGGTCCAATTTTTTTTCAACCTGATCGGGGGGTGAGGGCTTCGGGGGGATCTTTGTTAAGCTCTAAAGTTGATTTATATACACTGGAAAAACGATCTAGAAATTAGTAAAATTGTCTTAAATTAAGGGTATTTACCCTTAATTTGAGGAGGTAAATGAGATTATTTGCCAATGAGTATTTCTACTCTTAAAATAAGATAATTAGAAAAAATGCACTTGAAATAAGACAATGCAATTCTGTTTTCTTATTTTAAATGTAAATTGTCTTGTTCCATTGGCAAAATGTCTCTTTTATGTCCTCAATCCAAGAACAAATGCACTTATTTTAAGAATAAATGACTTATCTAGATTTCTATCAACTTCTTTTGCATTTCTGAAGATCATTTGATTTTATTTAGTGGACATGAGGGTTAAATGCAAATGCATGCCACACTTTATTTGTAAAAAAAAGATTGAATATCATATTAGATTTTTGTAATCTTCCACTTTGTGTTGGGTTTTTTTGCATTAATGTAAATAAGTAAAATAACGTTTTCAGGTGTAACTTGACCAAAACCTCCAGTTTGTTAGAATTTAATGTTTAAGAGTTAACTATATTCAAAAAGCTTAAATAGAAGAATTTGGAGTTAAAAGTTATCTGGTTAAGAGAAGGGGTCAAGTATTTTTTTTCTTTTTATCAGAAGCCAACGTGCTGCTTTTTCAGCTGCACATACGGCAAAGTCTTTCTTCTCTTATCATCTCGCCGCTTCTCCTTTCTTCTTCCGACCATTTTTCCTCTCGGGCGTCGTTCAATGAAAGGCCTGTCAAGCTCACAGGTTGCATCAAACGGAACACGGTGGAAAATTTTTAATTGTTTTCTTTATCTGAGCAGAGAGTCTACAAGAAAAAAAAAGAAAAAAAAAAGAGAGAGCAGTTGCAGGTTCATGGGAAAATTATACTTCAAAGACTGCAATGGTTGTTCAGTCAGCATTATGTGTGAAGTTGCTGGAGCAAGCTGGTCGGGCAGCGGCGAGATCCATTCAGTCAGCAAATCTAACCTTATTGTCAGTAGATAGTGCTTGTGTTTTATCACGTTAAAGTGCCAAAGACATTCTTCAAGGGGTTGTAATAATAAGATTATCGTCACAAGTTGATGCGTGATTCGCCCCGAGAAAGAAACTTCATAAAAAGGCAGATGAAACAACATCTTATCCTTACCTACCTTATGTAACTCCTGTCATCCTAACCCCAATTCTTCACACGAATCCTTCCACTCTCACCCTCACCTGAGCCTTAGTAGAACAAGTAACTCCTGTCACCCTTCATCTCCTTCCGTCATGACGTCTCTTTATGCTCCTTACAGGGAATGGCTTCGTCAGCACGTTCCAAGGGGGAACACAAGCAGAGAGTCTTCTTGACGGTCTCGTTCGGCGGGATCAAGATTTACTGTGAAAGATCAGGGGTGAGTAGCATGTCAGCGGCTGCGTCCCTCAGCTGCTGCGAGGAAGAGCCCACTGTACAGGACATCCAGAGGGCACGAACTCGCACGGCTCACTTCACAACAGCTGCGTGTGTTGGCCGCCATCTTAGATAACTGACTGACCTACTGGCAGGAGTGATGCCATCACGCTTCAATCACTGCTTTAAAACTTTCTGCCAATTATGATTCAAATCAAGCCTTCTTTAATTTCCCCCAGTGCAGTTTGTCCTTTGACTTATGAACCATTAAACTACCAGTACTAAATTCCAATTCTAGAATTTAATGTTAGAACCAAATTGAGATGCGGATATGAACCGTCAGTCAAAGGTTTAAATACAGAGATAATCTGGATAAATGGGATTTGGATTCGGAAATGAGTCGTAACTAGTTGCATTTACTCAGCTTTATTTGCTCAGACTTCTATAACATGAGGGTTAATGTAATATAAAGGGTATATACTGTCCCTGGAGGTAGTGAAAATATACAAACTGAAGCTTGTTCTATCATAAATACATTATATACTATAAGAAATTGTTTTCTTTTTTGTTTTGTTTTCTAAGAAATCCGTTTTATTTTACAGTCTCTTTTAGTTGAATTTATTAGAAAATATGTTATTTGTATTAATTACTTTATTTTAGACTTAAAAAGAAAATGAATGTGAAGAAAGCTTTATATTATGTTCTTTTTGATTGCATACTGTATTTTAAAATAGTAAAATGGTTACTGGTTAACTAAATAGCCTTTTCACTAAATTCTTCTTTACTTTTACTTGAATAATTTCTTTGGATAGCTAATTCTAATTTTTACTCCAGTAGAAATATGATGAAGTAATGCTACCTTTACATTAGTATTTTTTTTTATTTTATTTTGTCTTCCTAGTTCTGTATGGATTTTTTGTTTCTATATTCGAATCTACATGGTGTCATGTGGGTTCTCATATAAGTGAGGAAGTAGTTGACTTATTTGGACGTTTGGGTTAATTGTAAGTCAATAGGATTTGTATTCATCTTCTGGTCAGCGTTTCCAGCTTCTTATTTTCCCTGGTTGCCTACAGGTCTCTGTAGGTTTTTGTGTTTTATAAGGTGGGATTGATTAAATGTGACTTTAACGTTAAGAGCGCTAAAACGCAGTAGAACTGGAAATGTGCCATACAAATTCAGTCTATTTAGCTAATCCTAATTTTTGTTTATTTCAGCACCATTGCAATGCCCTACTATCTCTGGCATTGAATGACGTCTGAAAGCTAAAATAGTTATACCTTTGTTTTGTTTTTTTATTCCTTCCATTCCCCTTTCGTGGAAGTTATTTAACTCATCTATGTAGGCAGTAACTCATTTTAGCCATGTCTAGTGGCGTGGATTAAAGATTGATGTCCCAGCATGTTCCAGTGGATTATAGGTTTAGATTGAGGTTATTCTTAGGTTTTCCCTATACATACTGACCAGCTTCCATTCATTTCCTACTTAAAAGCTTTAGCGCAAAGTCAGTTTTTGACACAGTTGGGTGTTCTAAACAAAAAATGGTCCCAGATATGCATAAAAATGTGTTGTGAAATTAATGAACCGGGCATAGATTAGACGACCTTACCCAGATGTTCACTCCTGTCAAAAATGTTTAAAAGCCATCCCCATGCTAAAAAAACTGACCTTTTTAGATTAGCTCTCCCAATTCTGCCAAGACAATGGGTCAAACTTAGCCACATCTATACCAGGAAAGGCTCATGGCTGCTAAAAGTTTAAAAGAGTGTATATTTGAACCTACATTTAAAATGTATAATTTAGACCCTGTGAGGATGAGGAGAACATTTCCATTCCTGTTTTTATAAATTAGAAAAATTCCATGTTGTTTTATGAAACCCCCACCAACAAAAATAAATCAGATTACTTATATGAATCATAATAAACTAAATCAAATGCAAAATAATTCATCTTCATGAAGAGTTAATGTAAGCCTCAGACTTGGTCCTGACATGATTAAGTTCTGCTGAAAGATCACCTTTCAGATCCCTAAGACTGTGTGCTAATGCGAGGGACCCCCGTTAGCGGGCTTAGAGGCTCGCTGTTCCATTACAGGATGATCCAGGGGCTCAGATCTTCCCTACTGTCCCGCAGTGCAGAGCCAGCTAGAAAGACTCACTTGGCTCATCAGCGCTAACCACTAATTAGCTCTCTGTTCCACCCCTTAATGATCATTGCTGCTAATGCTAATTACACAAAAGCTCCACCTAGACTGTCTTTCGTTTGAAAATGATAATTGTGCAGCAGCAATTGTCTTGTGGCTGCCAGCTCTTTCCAGACCACCCCCAGTAACCAAAAAAAAAAAAAAAAAAGCCCTCACCTAAGATGATTTCTTTTATCAATCTGACTTTTTTCTCAGGAATTAAAAAGAGCTTTTAGCCACCCGCCATGACCCAAGAGCTTGCTCTCTTTAGACAGGCTCATTTGTCGTTTTACAAATCATGCCCCCTAATGCTCTTCATTTTATTTACTGATTACATGGCACTGAATAACTCTTCACTTAATACGCCTCTATGGGTTATTTAGGAGGGAATGGGGATCACTCTGGCGCAGGCTGTGTCAGCAAGCTGTAAAGCTGACATGATTCTGTGCTGTATGGAGCGTACTTGTCATATTAGTTTTGTATTTAACATTAATCTGGAGCATTACCGGCGACAGTCCCCACGAAAAAATGAGTAAATATTCAAATGAAAGCTCCTCCCTGGTGCTTAAGCTTATCCTGTCTAATAGTAGCAGCAGATGGGTGTCTTTCCATAATAGCTGAATTGTTGTCTTTTGTGTGTGTGTGTTTTTAAACACTATGGAGTATCCTTTGTTTAATTATTTAGGTATTTAGCTTTTGATGTTTTATGACAACACAAACATTAGGCAAGTAGATTATGCAAGACTGTTTGTCGTTGCGGAAGCTATAGAATAATCACAAACAACATAAAATACACTATATTGCCAAAAGTATTTGCTCACCTGCCTTGACTCACATATGAGCTTAAGTGACATCCCGTTCCTAATCCATAGGGTTCAATATGACGTCGGTCCACCCTTTGCAGCTAGAACAGCTTCAACTCTTCTGGGAAGGCTGTCCACAAGGTTTAGGAGTGTGTTTATGGGAATTCTTGACCTTTCTTCCACAAGCGCATTTGTGAG